ATTCACCCTGTCATATGCCTTTTCCAAATCCATAAATGACCAAAAACTTCTTTACCCTTATCTAAATACTGTTGTCTGTTTCACTGTAAACACTTGGTCTACACACCCCCTACCTTTCCTAAAGCCTCCTTGTTCATCTGCTCTCCTACTCTCCATCTTACTCTTAATTCTTTCAATAATAACTCTACTATACACTTTACCAGGTATACTCAAGACTTATTCCCCTATAATTTTTGCACTTTTATCCCCTTTGCCTTTATACAAAGGAACTATGCATGCTCTCTGCCAATCCCTAGGTACCTTACCCTCTTCCATGCATTTGTTAAATACTAGCACCAACCACTCCAAAACTATATCCCCACCTGCTTTTAACATTTCTATCTTTATCCCATCAATCCCAGCTGCTGTACCCCTTTTCGTTCTACCCACTGCCTCACAAAATTCCCTCACACTCAAAACTGGCTCTTCCTCACTCCTACAAGATGTTATTCCTCCTTGCCCTATACACGAAATCACAGCTTCCCTATCTTCAACAACATTTAATAATTCCTCAAAAATATTCCCTCCATCTTCCCAATACCTCTAACTCTCCATTTAATAACTCTATTTTTAACTGTCATATCCATTTGTTCCCTAAGCTTCCTCAACTTGTTAATCTCACTCCAAAACTTATATTCAACAAAATTTGTTGATAACATCTCACCCACTCTCTCATTTGCTCCTTTACATTGCTTCACCACTCTTAACCTCTTTCTCTCCGTATACTCTTCCCTCCTTGCATCACTTCTTTGTAAAAATTTCTCGTATGCTAACTTTTTCTTCCTTATTACTATTTACATCATTCCACCAATCGCTCCTCTTCCCTCCTGCACCCACTTTCCTGTAACCACAAACTTCTGCTGAACGCTCTAACACTACATTCTTAAACCTACCCCATACATCTTTGACCCCATTGCTAATACTCTCACTAGCCCATCTAACCTCCAATAGTTGTTTAAAACTTTTTATAGTCCCAAAAAAGTATTATACCAGAGTATGTGTTGCCAACACTTGTATGGGTGTGAGGCATGGCTTTTGGTAGCTGTGAGGTAGTGGGTAGAGGTAGTGGAGATGTTGGACAGCAATGTTTGGGGTGAGAATTCAAAGTAGAGAAATTAACCCTTTCACTGTCCAGACCTCCAAAATCAATATTACTGTTTCCATGTAAAAAAAATATGAAATGGTAGAGACCCTTTTTCTGAAGCTAATAAGAGTGCGAAATCTGATGGGAAAACTTGTGAAATTACGCAGGTGCCAAGTTAGTGGTCTGGGAAGTTTATGCATAGGTGATTTTTGCCCATGCTTCATTTGACCAGATTCTTAGCTATTTCGCTAGTATGCCTTCTATTCTATCAATTGAGTGCACAAAACTGCCGATTTAACTATTAGAAATCTTGTTAATGTGCACTGAAGTCAGTAATTTGGCCAGTTTTACACAATTTGAAAATGTAAATAGTGTTAAATAATCAATGTAGATATTCTAGGCATAAAAATTTCTTCTGCTCATTGATCATGTAGCAAGTTTTTTTTTTCATTTATTTCTGATCACACAATACCATATTCTCAGATCACAAGTTCATAAAATGTAACCAAGAATGATTGGACATTGTTCATGACATCTCAGTAATAGATTCAGACCCATAAAACACCTTGGTGGGGGGGAGGAGGGGGGGCTTGCCCATCCTTGGGGAAAAATTGGCAAAAATCAAATGTTTCTGCTGCTTTAGAGTTCAATTTCTAGCTACTTTATCCTGAAACCAACTCAAATCATCTCTATTTAAGTAGTATATCTTCCATTCTATTAATGATACCAAGAAACAGCCAATAAAACCATAAACATCCTAGAAAATGCCCTATTATAAACCAAACGTGCTCAGAATTTTGCTCCTCCCCATCATGCACCACATGGGGCAGGATTTTTTATATTGCACTCTAGCCCCACCCATTCTCTCGTATGTAGGCCAAAACTAATCTGATGGATCTCTGGCATCAGTAACTTAAATCTACATGATGGCCACTGTTAAAATGCAATGGAAGGTCTAGAACTGGTTCCCAAACTTTTTCAGCTTGTTACCCAATTTAACATGCCACATAAAGCATGTTACCCCTTTCACAAAATGTTGTTATTATTGATATATATGGCTAAACGTGAATGTATACAGCCTCGCATACTCTGCTAATCCTAGCAAACCATTGAAAACGTAAGAACCACACATACATTATATATAAAATTAATAATAGCTACAAATTCACAGTAACAGTGGGTAAATACTAACTATATACTGCACAGGGCAGTACACATACATACCAGCTTATGTCTACCTCGGCTGATGCTCACAGATAAACTGACAGTGTGAAATAGAGGCAGCCTCAGGAAGTGAGTGACGCGTACTGGACAGGTCGATCTGGGCTACTGAGTGACTTGTCCTGAAGCATACTTGTCAAAATACTTTTGGGTTTCCACACACTTAGCTATATATTTCTTCTTTTCTAATACTGTATATTAGTTTTTGATGTTTATTGTTATTTGGTTTAACTTTATTACTTATAATAGGTTTACTTTACAACTTTATATACTAAGACAAAGTTAATAATCCTCATACTGGGTACTGCATTGTTTTCTTGATTTTCAGAATTCATAACTTTTTTTCTGTCACCCCTCCATTACCCCCAAAAATGGTTAAATTACCCCCAGGGGGTAATTTACCCCCAGTTTGGGAACCACTGGGACTCTTGAAGGATATAATTCGGAGGGCTGAAGAGTTGAGATGGTTTGGACGTGGTATAAATTGAGTGGAAGGTAGGAGCGGGTAGTTGTCCCACAAATGGTTGGAGGAAGTAAGAGGCTTTGAGTTCTAAGAAGCTTGAGTATCCAGCAGGCTTGTGCAAGTACATTAGAAGTGAATGGAGAAGTGGTTTTTAATAGGTGTTGGAATGTGAGCAAGTTACTTTTATGAAGGGATTCAGGGGCAACTGGTTAGCCAGACTTCTTAGAGGTGGGAAGGGCAGTGCCTGCACTCTGAATACTGGGGATGTTATAGTTGGAGGGTAGTATGTTAGTGATGTCACTACACTTCTGGAAAGATGGTTATTGAATGAACGGCAAATAATTTTTTCCTTGTGTCGTCCTACCTTGGCAGAAGATTTAAAAAAAAAATACATTCAGTACTGTTTCTATTCGCTTGCAAATGCTGTATTAAACATTTGTTTAATGTACAGTATACTGTACTTGTTAAACAGATCTAATATAGAATGTTCTTTGTATATGCTCTCCACTTACTAACTGCTGTGGTTGAGTGCAGTGTGGGGGTAAGTGTGTGTAAACAATTAACAATTTTATTTCTTTGCATAGGTTACAATGTGTGAATACATATAAAGCATGTCGATGGGTACAAAGCATGCCACAGCATGCCAGGGCATTCTGGGGAGAGGAATCCTAATCCTAATTATACGTTCATAGTTTTCCTTATCACAACAATGGGGTATCTCATGGTTTACAGTAATCAATTTTATAGTTGAGACGAAGTATATATAAAAATACCGGTATTACAGTTTAGCATAATTGACAATAATGAAATTGAAACAATTTTAAGTTTGAAATAATGCTTATTTAACTGAGCAGTCGTAAATTATTTGGGATGCCAAGCCCATGATAACACTCTTCAGGTCACTTGTTCTATCTAGGCTGGAATATTGCTGCACACTAACAGCACCTTCCAAGCAGGTGAAATTGCTGACCTAGAAAATGTACAGAGAACCTTCACGCCATGCATAACGGAGATAAAACGCCTTGGTTACTGGGAGCACTTGAAGTTCCTGAACCTGTACTCCCTGGCATGCAGGCGGGAGAGATGCATGATTATATACACTTGGAAAATCCTAGAAGGACTAGTATCGAACTTGCACACGAAAATCACTCGCTACGAAAGCAAAAGACTCGGCAGATGATGCAACATCCCCCAATGAAAAGCAGGGGTGTCACTAGCACGTTAAGAGACAACACAGTAAGTGTCAGGGGTCCAAGACTGTTCATCTGCCTCCCAGCATACATAAGGGGGATTACCAATAGACTCCTGGCTGTCTTCAAGCAGGCACTGGACAAGCACCTTAAGTCAGTATCTGACCAGCCGGGCTGTGGCTCGTACGTTGGATTGCGTGTAGCCAACAGTAACAACCTGGTTGATCAGGCTCTGATCCACCATGAGGCCCAGTCACAGACCGGGCCACAGGGGCGTTGACCCCTGGACCTCTCTCCAGGTAAACTCCAGGTTGGGTGATAAAGAATAGTGTTTGTATGGTTAATTTTGGGAGGTAAGATGATTTCTAGGTAGAACCCTACAATCATTTGCAGGCAGGGGACCGTTTACATGTTTTGGCAATGAATTTCAGCTCTTCAGGCCTTTTATGTGTATGACATTTTTGCATTGGCTGAGACTGACTTAGGGATGTTGGTGTTTTGTGCCTTGTGTTATGCCTGTGTTGTGATTATCGAGGAGGAGTTTGAGAGGAGGGTTTATGTTGGAGTGTAATGTTCTATATATGTAGTAGGCACAATATGAGTGGATGTTTTGTATATTAAGCAAATTCAAGCTCTGAAAGTGGTGGTGTGTTGCTTGGCACAGGAGTTGGTAAGTTGACCTCACATCTTTCTTGTTGACATGGCTAGGACACATCTGCAGTGGTGGTGGCAGAAGTAACCACAGAACATAATTAAATCGGTAATATTTTAATCAGTCTCTACCAACAAATGTGAAGTTTGTTTTTACATGCGTAGAATTAACTCTCACAAAGTATAAATGCATTTGATAAAAAAATGATTAAATTCATTCAGAAAATTAGTATTTACATAGTCCACTGTTACTTGTTCACAAGTACAGTAATTGGTTAGAGTACCATTGTTGTAAGTGTGAAGTGTTGTCTAAAGTTGAGGCCCTACTGTATGAACTGTATTGCATTTTCAGATCACTAAATTCCGGTGTAGCCTCAAGCACAGTCGGGAGCCAGGAGGCAGGTGCTCATCTGTGGTGTCACAAGTGTTCCACGGTGTGCAAGAGACTCAAGTGACCTGCAGGAGAAGTGGCCTTGTTGTAGCTCGCAGCAGGGAGCACTTCCCCCCCTTAACCGGACTCCAATAAAA